AACAAGAAAATATTTTCCCCGTTAAAAAGACGCCTTGGCGACACTTAAAAACAACGCTTATTAGCACATAAGATACTGGCTCACTTCATTTCACACTTAAGTTATTGTACACATAAAATAAATATAGTTTTTAAAGTAATTAGTAAAAAAATTTATGCTGTCCGTTGCGATACGAAAGTTTGTTAATGAACAAACTCATGAATGCTTAAAAGTTGCTATTTTAATTATCTACAAATTACCATGATCTACATACATTCTTTACGTAGCCCTATTAAAAAGAAATACTCAAATTAATATATATACGTATGTAACACTATTTATCGTTAATATTTACAAAATACATATTTAACCATATTTTGTGTTAATTTGCTATTATAATAATTTTGTTACATTATTTTAAGAAAGTTTAACATCTGACAATGATTCTGACATTAAAGAAAATTAAGCAGTAATTTGTTACAATACGGTTTAAATTTAAATGAACACTATTCGCCTAGAAGCCGATTAATTCCGTCATTTCTTTAAATATTATAAAGCGGATTTTTGCGAATGTGTGCGTGTGTTTTGATGGGAGCGATAGATATCATGAATGAAATAGAATTCACCGACTTACCTCCTAATTGGTTGAGATACATCGGAACAAGTTATAACACGTTTAATAGTAAATGTTTTGAATATTTTTTAAGTGGCGTCTCATTATATTGATATAATAAATCTGTATTATATATTACTCTGTACTAAAAAATATGAAGAAAACAGTAACAGAATGAGTCTCAGACATAAGTTTTTTTTTACTTACTTCGTTTCATTTTTCGGAAAACGAAAGAATCTCCTCCCTTTAACTCGTTTAGATGATAATAAACAGCCTTACACAGCGCATTATAAATAGTAACGTATAATGATGTTATATATTAACGTACAAGTTATGTAATGAATGTCTAGGACAGACACGGCAACACTGCCCGCGCTCCGAGCGGGCCGCAGCCGTAAAATTAAAAAACAAAAAATCTCTCTTCACGAAACGGTCGCCGCCGTCGCACACGTCGCTAAATTTTGTAATTTCTCTTTCTCGAATCACTCGGCCTATACCCTTCCAGTGGTAGCACCCTTGCGCCGAACATAAGCAGTCGCGCGCGGTCTGTGAGACCGCATCTTTGCGCGGTCAGTTTGAGAAGACAAATGAATATTACCATGACGTTGTATAGCACATAATAAAAATAAGTCTTACTTATTATTTTTTTAATTTGTACTTAGTAATCAAACAGTCTACAAAAATTCAAAATTTTAGTCATATGACACAAAACAACGTTAGAAATCAAGACTTTGACTTTTACTTTTACTTTGACTTTGACTTTGACTTTGACTTTGACTTTGAGACCAATCAAAATAATTGCACAATTTTGTAGGAACTCTAAAAGCACAATTATTTTTAAATGTTTTTTTTTTCATGATGCTCTACGTAATATCTTAATTCTAATATAATTAAAAAGGAAAACAAAATAAAAAACGTGTAAATATTTTTAAGAGTAGGTACAGGGTCAAGAGCACGTCAAGCTTGACACTTAAGACTTAATACCAACTCTATCTCTATCTCTCTCTATCAGTATCAATGGTTTAACATCATCAAAATCTTCATCTTCTGTTTCCGCCTCCTCTGCAAACCGTTCTGGTTCCTCGTAACCCATTGTCTACAAGAAATAGCGTAATAATAAATAATTGAATATAATATTACATAAAATAATGTAATTTTGTAATTGATATACACTTTATTGCTCACACACAAGAACTTTTGTTCTTGTGTGTGAGCAAATTTAAATTTCGAATAGGTTGACTTGGGACATTTTTTTCGTGGTTTTTGTATTAGACCCGTCGTCCATTTATTTGTAAGTCAATGTTCTCTGGTATTTGTTTGGTTCTCTCACTGTATTTGTTTTTATCACAGTATGTGTTTTATATAAATGTGTATTAAATTAGTAATGATTTTGTTGACTTTGTGAATTGATTGTAAATGTTTTGTTTCTGTTTATATTTGTGCTGAATAAACGTATTATCTATCTACTTAGCTAACATATTAATCAACAATACTGTAGTCTTATGTCTGCTTGGAATTGGAATTTTCTCTATCACTCGGGTTACTTTCTAATACAGTCATCCTTTTAAATCGTGTTAATTAACGTAGACTTAACTATAACTGAAAATGTAAACAAAAGTCGTATGATAGTTTATCAGTGGTTCAGTTCAAAAAGATTTACAAAGGTCAAATTAACTGAGTTAAAATGATTAGTTTAACTGATATGGAAGTGGTTTCCAGAAGTGTTGGGTTTTGTACCCTTTGTACCGTTTATCTGAACTGCTTTTAACTTAATTTCATTCATGCTTGTGCTGGGAAAGTCTTGCATCTTCCCTAAACTTAAAAATGATAGTTACCTTACCTACAATATTTGAAGTACTTTTCTTCGTGTCGCATAGCCGTGGGATATCCTGTATTAAAAGGGACTGCTAATCGATATGACTGCAGCTGATGAACCTTAATTAACTGCCTCCGTGGCCGAACGGTTACCGTGCCGGACTGCCACGCAGAGGTCCCAGGTTCGATTTTCGGGCCGGGAGAAATGTTTGTATGGCTTACATTTATTTCTCTCGTGAGTTTGGGTGTAATTTGTGGTTGTCTATGTGTGTGTCCATGGCACCCGCGACACAGGGTTTCCCTAGTGCGGGGCTATGTTGAGTGTGTGCGTTATTTATTATAAAAAAATATGACAATGGAATGCAACAATACAATACAATACAATACAAAAATTATTTATTGTACACCAAAAAAGAAAACAAATACAAAACAATTAAATAAAAAATAAGCGGTGGTACAATGGGCGGTCTTATCGCTTTAAGCGATTTCTGCCAGGCAACCTTTGGATGGAAGTAATTATATAATTCACAGGAAAAAGACGTTACAATGTTAGTTTACGCAACAATGTTAGTAAAAAAAAAAATAAAAAATTGAAAAAATGTTTCTCTATTGTTGCTCTAATGTCTTCGATTGTACTCAGCGATCAGTGGGTTAAAACCCAATCAATACGCCCGGGTTTTAACCGGGTTTTTACCCAAACTTGTATGTGGACGAGACCTGCAAATAGGATATAATTTCATACTAATTATAAAAATAAATAAATAAATTGATTGAATTAATACCACGACAAAAGGGAACCGTATCGTACCCACTTAATGTCACGGAAGAAGATATCTGTAAAGGAATAAAAACTTCGTTCAGTATTTCTGCCGTCACGTGACAAATGGTCAAATCGTTTTAAATAGAAAAATATAGTGCGCAAATTAGTTGACGTGTTCAACTTATCGGAACGTACCCTAACGATGCATAACTGAAATATCATTAAAGAATTTTAATATTCTAAAACTGGGTTATGGATTTTTATGACATCTCAAAAAAATATTTTGTCACGTAGCGTAAGTTAGCGGACGGCAGATTTGTGCGCTCTCGCAGATCTGTCTAATTCACTGTAATAATTACATAAATGACAGTGCAACGTGTTGTGACTACGAAGTTTTCATAATTAATGGTTGTTGTAGCCAATTAGCGCTGCCACTAGCGTACCTAGAGGATGACCAAAAAAGAGACTAACCATAATTACGTTGAAGGGCGACAAATGGACTGACGTTTGCAACGGTTATTACAGCCGGATTTTTGATTAGAAATTGTGATGATTAGCGCTTTGCTAGTAGAGAAGTCAATAATGAATAATATTGCTATGTTTATTTATTAACAACTGTTATTGTAAACTGTTGTTAGAGAACCTGTTATCTGACAATAGTTGTTTTGCAGGCCCTTGAGTCGAAAAACACATTTCGTGACCTGAAAAGTTTACGAAAGCAACCAAATTAGACAATAAAGTTACTTAGAGAAAATGAAACTAATATAATTAATTAACTACTGGTTAAAGTTTGATTTTGCTTAAGCTTACTTACTTTTTTATTTTTAGGATTTAGGCATAGGATTTACACTAAAAAACGAACCTGTGAAATGCAACTTTTGCAGAAAATTTAACTTTTCGGGTAAAGCTGGATTGTAACGTTTTTATATAGATTTTTTATATAGATTTTATAAACGAAACGAAACGGTTATTTTCTAAAAAGAAACGCTTTCTAGAAACAGTTACATTACAAGTTTGGGTAACACCTGTAACAGTAGTAACATTACAAATGAAGATTAAATATATAGTAGCAGTAGCTTAAATGTGACGTTTTCAAGTGTAAATTTATTTTACATATGGAATAAATAATCTTTGACTTTGACTTAATCTTTGACTATATATATACCGTCTTTTACGTTAACAACAATTTAATTTTATTAAATAAAATAGGTAAATAAAGAGTATAGAAAATGAAACTATTTTTCCGGATTTGAATCGCGTATATTTGTTTTTTCAAACAAACCGACGTTTCGGGCCATTTACTTTAACTTAATAAAAATTCATTCAATAAAATAATTTGTAAAACTTAATGTTGCGTAAATTGGAATGTTTTCTTTGTAAATTTAAAAATAAGGCATTTAATTAATAACTATTGTAACTATAGTGAAAAAATTGGGTGGTTTGTATCAATATTAGACATAACTGGTTGAAGACTGTACCACCTCAGTCAACCGTGTCCTGTAAAGGGCCCGAAACGTCGGTTTGTTTGAAAAAACGAATATACACGATTTAAATCCGTAAAAGTAGTTTCATTTCCTATGAATAATTTAATTTTATTAAATAAAATAGGTAAATAATGAGTATTTACAACACTAGAACAATATTGCTTATAATATGCTTCTGGAAAGGACAATTTCTGGAATCGTCCATTTTGGAAATGTCCAGGTCAATTCTAGTAATTATTCTACAGGGAATCTCCCAGTTTGAAATCAGATGGTTAACGTGTTTGTGTAAATGTTCTGCTGTGCAAGGATTAAATTCTCTATTACCTAATTTAATTTTTCCTTGTTTCAGTGGTAACGCTGCTATCGGCAACGTTTGTTCTGAGCTTGATTGGAACTGTATTCTTTTGCTTCACGAACACAATCAACGATGCCGTATTATCAGTAAGTAGCATTAGCAGTAGAGCTCCTAGTGAAAGAGATCGCCCAGGGTAGCCTTACTTATTTCTGCCGTCAAGCAATAATGTGAGCATTACTGCATTTCGTGCTGGTGAAACTACAGGCACATGGGACTTGTCAATTTATGCCTCAAGGGTGCAATGGCAGTGCCCTTGACCCTTCCAGCGAATTTGCTTGACGCTACAAGCGTCAGCGTCGAGCGTCAATAACAAATATTTGATTTTATTTGTAAGAGGCCAGAAAGTAGCCCTGCGAAATTCGCTACGAGCGGGCTTGCACGAGCGTTGAAAGAAGAATTGTACGAGAAGTTCCATAGTGCGCACGAAACAGTCGGTCAGTCGATCTGCGCGTCAGCATTTGAAACAAATTGTTTTGTTTCTATTAGCTTTTCGCTTACTTAATTATGAATATAGAACAATTTATGACGGCAGTACAAGATCGGGCTGCGTTCGGATGACTTCGCATCCACAACATAAGATCAGTATAGAAGATGGCTGACACGGGTCTATGGTAACCATTACATTCTTGTTTCAGAACATGGTAATCAGAAATAATTCCCTAGCTTATTCGATGTGGAAGGAGCCGCAAGTGGAACCACTCATGAAAGTGCACCTCTTTAATTATACCAACTGGGAAAGAGTACGAGATGGCCTGGATGAGAAGTTACACGTTGAAGACGTCGGGCCTTATGTGTATGCGTAAGTATCTGAAATCCAAACCAATAGGAGAAGAGCTTTGAATGAATTCGTCCCGGGAAGTGAGCGTTACTGCCGCCAAGCAGTAATGCTTACATTACTGCGTTCCGGATTTAAAGGGTGGAATTACAGGCACATGGGACTTGTCAACTTGTATGGGTACAGCTGTTTGGCGTCGGAAATAGGTATCTTAGATTAATAAAGTCCCAAAAATACGGTACTACGTACGACGGTATTGCGTCGAAGATACAGTGGGAGGGAAGCCGAAGTCACTGGACAATATATTATTATTTTTCATATCTACACATTGACTTACAATTATATGGACGTCGGGTCCGCGCTAAAAAGTGTCCGAACTTATAGGGCGTTAAAATCGTATACAGAGCGTCATTCACGCTTTAGTCTTCGTTTGTTCGACTGGCAGCGAAGCAAGCAAAATTAGAGAGTAGGTACTGCGATGACATTACAATTTAAATTCAACGTTTTAGCTTTTTCATATTCCTTTACATGTCACTACGTTTAAATAGGTTGACTTGGGACATTTTTTCGTGGTTTTTGTATTAGACCCGTCGTCCATTTATTTGTAAGTCAATGTATCTACATAACTAATCTCAAATGTAGATATAACAATGTCTTGAAAAATTATTAAAGGATTTTAATTATCATATTAATTAATTGATTTAAAATGTTAATTAATTTAATGTCGGCATTAATTCAGATTCTATCTCAGGATTCAGGTCTATACTAAAAGAAAAACTCAAAGATATCACTTAAGAATGTAATAATAAGAAGTTTTTTTGTCTTTTTGTATACGGTTAACAATGTTTCAATCCACTTATAACGTAGATTAATGTTGTTTAATTATTATATACACTAGTGTTTGTTTTTGTTATAGTAGTTTAGTTACAGAAAAAATAATTAAATTTTAAATATACGCAAAAAAAATTATTCTCAAGGAAAATCCAGATAAAACAATTTACAAGCAATTAGTCTCAAACTGACTTGCTATTATTTTACTCACAGACCACATATACTAGCTCAGGTACTCATACTTACTCGTAAGTAGCAGAACAACTTCTTGTGAAAGAGTTCGTCCAGGGTAGTACTGCAACCTTGCCTATTTCTGCCGCCAAACAGTAATGTCAGCATTAGGGATTTCGTCCAGGTAAAAACTATAAAAATACTGTTTTGCTCATTTGTTCGTAGCATTCTAGAATACGCCAGCCAAATTTGGAACCCGCGATATGATGTCTATATTTCACGGCTCGAGAATGTTCAAAAGAAGTTCATTCGTTTTCTGTGCTACCGCATGAATGAGTCTTACATTTCCTCCAATTACTACAGTCTCTGTAAGAAACACCATCTTTTACCACTAGTAACGCGTCGTAATATTAGTGACTTGATGTTATTAATTAAAATAGCTTCAGGTTCAATAGACTGCCCAGAACTTCTATCAAAGATATCTCTAAAAGTCCCCACCAAGTCACTGAGAAATAATTTCCTTTTATTTCTACCCCCGGCCCATACTAATTACAGGCAAAACGAGTTTATGTGGCGTGCTAGCGATAATTTTAATATTCTTTGTATGACCTTCGATTTGGATCTATTTAATACTAGCGTGGCTACGGCAAGGAATGCACTAAGTAGGCATTTTTTTGAGTCATAGTGAATAATTTCTTCGTTTTTTTTTCCCCTTTTCTTTGTATGTCATAGATTTAATTGTGCACCGTGTGTTTGTTAAGGTTCATTTTATTGTGTTGTTGTTTGTGAGGACCTATAATTGGCCTTCAGTTTTTACTGTTAATGACTAATTTACTTTAAAGCTGTTGGTCTTCCTAAGATAAAATAAATAAATAAATACTGTGTTCCGGTTTTGAAGGGTAATAAGGGTGCTGGTGAAGTTACAGGCACATGGGACTTGTCACACTTATGTCTCAGTGGCAGTGGCAGTGCCCCTCAGATCTTTGCGATTAAAAGCTCTGAGTGGCACGACAACTGTTATGACCAGACGTGTAGCCATCAAGCGCACGATATGTCCGTCCCGTCATTAGATATTATAAAAAAAACTCCACTGGCTCAGCAACCGGGGTTTTGGCCTCGTATACGTGTTGGCGCCAGCGCACTCTATCTTTTATTTTCACGATTACAAAAGAATTTTCGTAAATGTAGCTACTTGATACTAGTTTGAGAACGTTTATTTCTTTAAACTTGTCTCTCAAGAGCCAAATATTTCATCGGAATAGTGTTCGGAAACAAGCTCATTACACCAGCAACAAAATGCACCAACATCTATCGAAAATGTATTCGGGTTCAGACGATACAAATTTAATGTTATCTCTCGAGATGCAACTGTACCTGGGACTGGATGCAAATCATATTTAATTATTTTTGACAAAGAACCGGTCCCGGGATCACACGATACTTGGGCCCATTCGGGTTCCGTTGCAACTTTAAACCGATCCCGGGTTCAGATGCTACAAACCCGCTTTTTGTTTCCGCTTGTTGCGTACTTCGTTCGGGTAGACTCGGCTTGATTGTGATTTCTTATTCACTGTCTTATTCAGGATATCGTTTTCTTAAATAATGAAATTTATTTTCTAATTTTAAGGAAAATAAATAATTTTGACTAGTTAGGGTTCGCCGCTGCGCACATCGTTGTGCCGTCCCGGGCCATAGCCCCTCTGCACATCCACGCCACTGGCCCTATATTGTGCGATCTCCCCCTGATGTTCTGTGTGTAGGGCGAGGAAGTCTTTATCTATGCCATCTGATAAATTGTTATTACTCCATTGGACCAGGCTCTTATTCTTTCGTTAGTTCGGCGGTACACGTGACCGGCCCATATTTTATCAGTGTTTTTGAGCCAAAACACCAATGTAAGACAAACTATATAGTTTACTACACATAGGTAACCTCTTTATTGGAACTACTTCAGCTCATATCAGTAACCAATCTGTAAATGTTTTGTTACTAATATTATTATATTAAAACAGCATCTCGTTGACTTCAATATAATTTGGAGACAAGCTACTTTAAAATTACTACCGGACAAAAATATCTGACATGAACAAAAATTACGCAGAAAGCGTTGGTATCCTCAGTATAAGTAATATGTCAGATTTGTATTTTAAAGTTTTTAGTATTGTGGATTGCCTTGGCGATGGTAATGAGCAGATAAGAGAAGGCAGACGTTAAACGTGGAGGAGCAGGAATCAAGGTGCACAAATGTTTCGGTGGAATGGCAATAAATTTGTATGGCAAATTGCTGTAGAGTGGAATTCCCTGCCTGCAGACTTATTCCCTAAATAAATTGTGCCTTTTCCAGGCGAGAGTGAATAGGCATTATTTAAGTGTGCATGCTTTATTGATTGATGAAGGTCAAATGCACACTTATCGCGTGGAGCTCTACTGGTATTAATAATCTGATGGGATACTTCTTTTGTATAAAAAATAAGACTTAAATATTAAATTAAGACTTCCATCTCACTTGGTGTAGAGCGTCGTGAGCGACAATGTGTGCATGCGCACCTAAATGAAGCTTATTCACTCTCGCCGGAATAAGTCTGCAGACAGGAAATTCCACTCCATAGCCTTTCCCCATATAAATAAGGGAATGGTTACAATACAATACAATACAATACAAAAATTCTTTATTGTACACCAAAAAAGGAAACAAATACAATACAATTAAATTAAAAATAAGCGGTGGTACAATGGGCGGTCTTATCGCTTTAAGCGATTTCTGCCAGACAACCTTTGGATGGAAGTAATTATATAATTCATAGGAAAAAGACGGTGGTGTATGAAGAATTACTTAATCAACAGATAAAAATTGATAAATAAATACAAATATACATATATTTATAAATAAATAATAAAACCAATACATATATATGAATATCGTAAACTACTATATATTCTCATACTTATAAATATAAAAATTTCTAAAACCTAATTTCAAAACATAAAAATACCTAAGCAGTCCAGGTCACACTAAACAAAAACTAAAGGTTACTTGATAATTTAAAAAAAAGACGAGTCTACAAATTGTATAAACGTCAATGAAATAGATAATATTGTTTAGGTACTTGCTAGTCTCCCTATTGACTCCCTACTGACGCCCCACCTTATTTTCGTCGTTTTGAGCAATACTCTATCCCGTGGGCGGTATCTATCATATTTTTTATGGGCGCCAAAATTGCATGCGCCCGCCATTATTCGAGTTATAAAAAACTTATTTATTATATTATTTTGTCATTATGAGTTGATGAAGGTGGTCTGTTTATTGCAACAGCCATATTGCACTATCAATAATATAGTGGCATAATTGAAAAAGTAAAATACGGGCACATGGGACTTGTCAACTTACGTTTAAAGCTCTGATTGCCTCTACATATCTTGTTAGTCCCGTCATTTGATATTATAAAAAAAATCGGTCATACTCGGACTACGGTTCACTGCCTAATTTCACATCCTGGACGAACTCTTTTACTGCTACTAGAATTGTCATTTTTTAAAGAAACAAACTTTACGACCCAATATCTCCAAAGTTACCCAAGTGCAAATGCGTTATTTGTCACTAGGAGGGCAATATAGAAAACCTATAATTATAAGATTACACGAGACGCCATTAATCGCTTACATTAACTACTATAAACACTGATCACTGTGTTATATTACATCTTTTATATGTGTAGGTAATGTGTATCTAATACATATTAGTACTGAGGTTATCAACGTGCCTTCACCCAGTGATATTCATAGTCTTTGAGAGTATGTATGGTTGATAGGCGAAGACGTTAGCACAAATAGTTTGTATTGAATGTCACATTGATGCTTTTCTACCATGATGTTCAAATTTTTTTTTTTGTGAAATTTCTCCACTAGTTATAACAAATTCGGCATAAAAAGTCGTTAGAAACCAAAAAATAATATCTGCAACAAGCACATAGAAAAATTCATAAGGTCCGTGGGTTCGCTCCGTGGTTTAGTTGGCATAGTTTGCTCGAAGACGTCGATTCAAATCAGGCCCGGCCGGAACGAAAATTTTTTCTAACCATTCGATATTTGTTATTAATTAACCGACTTCGAAAAAGAGGAGGTTCACAATTCGACTCTATGTTTTTTTTGTACGTATGTTACGCGATAAAGCTTTGCAATTTAAAGCTCTGAGTGGCACTGTTGGACAGGCGTGTAGCTCACCATTAGGCGCTCGAATTGTTCATGCCGTCACGATTTTTTAACACACAAAAATTTCTTGGTAATGCCGTGTTTTATACAGAATAAATGATTTCTACTCTATTCTATATAAAGTAGGTACTTACAGTTGCCAAAAGACCGAAGTTTTCGAAGTTAAGTTTACTAGAAATTCTCGATACAGGTTTCGTGATGTCAATTATGTCATCGTCATAGCTCCACAAGAAGCTGAAAAATAGGTAGTATTAAGCGTTGTGAACAAAGTCGTATTATAGGAATAACATACATCAATAGCTTATATTACGACAAAATAAATTAAATAAATGATATGGATGTACACCCAAAATGTTGACATCATTGTTCCTTCTTGGTTTCGTCTATACTGTTAAAATAGAAGGTTTTAAATTTCACTGTATATTATTTGCATGTATGTTACGCGATAAATGTGTGAACAGGTTTTGATGATTGTTTTCTTTTTGTTGGAAAGAGGGTACCTCAGAAGTGGTCCCATTTAAATTCCAAGAAAATATTCCACCTCTAAGGGTGGCAAACTAGGGGATGAATGACTTTTGACTACGGTTTTTTAGTCCCCGGTATGAAGCAAAACGAAATCAGCTATTGATAAACAAAGCCGAGCAGTTAGTACTTCCACACCACAACTTACCACTCGTCAACTTTAAATATTAAATATAGTTCGAAAGTCATTGATAATTTCTTACATTGACATAGTGTCACCAAATGCACAACAAATAATCAATTTACTTAATTTTGTATGGCAAAGAAAAATGTTTTTTTTAAAGACTGATTAATGTTGAATCTAATTAAAATAAATAAACGACGATTTAAGGTTATCTAATTTTATAATTAGTTTTACATTTTACATGAGATGTGGGGAATTTGTGGGGAATATGAACTTTGCTCTTCCCAAATTTGGGTATTTTAACCGTGACTTTTGGGGATTTTGAACTATTGGCATTGGCAACGCTCTGGTACGTAGACGTTCGTTGTGTTCACAGTAGCCGCGCGCGCCGGCGGCGCCTGTCTCGAGGTAGGCACGGGTGCGGATGCGCGGGTGGGTCTATTGACTTTCACAGTGATTGGTCTAGCGCCTGGTGTCCACGTTAGACTCGACGGGGGTCTACGTCGGCGTGACATAGAATAATATGGAATATGGTAGAAATGTAGCTGCAGGGGGTCCACCGGAACCAGCAAAATTTTGAATGTGGTCTATGAGAAAAAAAATCTGGGAACCTCTCTAGCGTCTAGTGTCTGTTTGCGATTTCAACGCATGGATCTACCCGCTCGTAGCCACTTCGGTACTGTGAAAGGGAAGACGCCAAGATCCGCGCGCCCGCACATGCCGCCGCGTCCGCGCTTGCGCCTATTCATAATGAGCCCTATCGCTATCGCAGCATAATTATAATGTAATTTTCATTTTGTTATAGACAGCAAATAGAACGAGTGAATGTCGACTTCTTAGGGGACAAGCTGGCGTTTCAAGAAAAAAATACCTTCAGATACATGCCCTTGAGAACAAAAGGAAGCGCTCATTCTGATAAAGTTTTTATTCCTAATCTACCTTTGATTGTAAGTATAATCATTTGAAAAAATTAATAATAATAACGCACACATTCAACATAGCCCCGCACTAGGGAAACCCTGTGCCGCTGGTGCCATGCACATTACACATAGGCAACCACAAATTACACCCAAACTCACGAGATAAATAAATGTAGGCCTTATAAATATTTCTCCCGGCCCGGGGATCGAACCTGGGACCTATGCGTGGCAGTCCGGCATGATAACTATTCGGCCACTGAGGCAGTTAAAATTAGAAATAAGAAAGAAAATGCTTTCATTTTTAACTGACTTCAAAAAAAGGAGGACGTTCTCTATTCGACTGTGTTTTTTTTGTATGTATGTATGTATGTTTGTATGTAACTCCGCCATTTGCGAACCGATTTTGATGATTCTTTTGTTGGAAAGAGGGTACCTCAGTAGTGGTCCCATTTAAATTTTAAGAAAATATTCGACCTCTAAAGGTGGTAAACTAGGGGATGAATAGAAAGAAAGAAAGAAAGAAAGTAAGAAAGAAAAATAGTTTATTTGGTAACCATAATACAAATAGAACGTAAAAACAAAAATTAAAATAACCTTATTATAACATTTACTTAAAATAAAACAGTATTATATTTAAGATGGTACCAAAAAGGTCTCCACTCAGCTTATTTGTAACGAGACGTAGGGAAACATCTCGTTACGCTGATTTTCAGTGAAGCCAACAATTTACAGTTAAACAAAAATAAAGTGGCTTCGACCAAGTAGAAAGAAAAATAGAGAATTTAATTTAAATATGAAAATTCAATCTAAAAAAGGAGAAACTGCGAGTACGTGTAGAGTCTGTGTGAGCGTGTATTGTGTGATCACTGTGTTACCATGTATGTGTGGTTGTGATATTAGTGTCAGTAGTGGAATGTCACAATCGCACCGCACGACTGCCAGTGCTGTTGGACACCTGGCTAGATAATAAAAATTTCTTAAAAGACAATTTGAAGGATGCAACAGATTTGTAATTTTTAACGGTGGTGGAATGTCGTTCCAAATGAATCACTTTTGACGTCGGTTTTTTTAGTACTCTGGTAACCTCAGGGTTAGGTCATGACTACTACAAATGACGTCACACAAGAAAAAACTGACCTGAAAAGTCCGTGGAATTACATCTATTTGCCATGTTTTATTGAAATCGGTTACCGGAAAGTGCGCAAAACCGGGTTCATCCCCAAATTTGCCACCCTTAGAGGTAGAATATTTTTTTCAAATTTAAATGAAGATTCCACACACTTTTGAGGTCTGTTTTTCTTTATATACAAGTTGGAATTTATTATACACGAATCAATAATAATTAGAATTTGAAGCAACTATTGAGAAGTAATAAGTTTAAAAACTACATTAAAAATATTTTGATTGAAAAGTTATATTACAAAATTGAAGACTACGTGTTAGTTAAAGAAGTATGGAAAGACGACACGGCTCCAGAATCCACACAAATTTGATTTAAAGTGTATTCCATAGCATTTAAGTTTATTTGAAAAGAGCAATCCCTAGAGTTTCTTGCTCCTTCTCCGGGAGGTCAGCGTAGTGAACGACCAATAGCTTAAATGTGGCGTTTTCAAGTGTAAATTTATTTTATCTATGGAATAAATGATTTTTTGACTTTCACTGACTTTGATTTTGGTCTTTATTAACATTTTCAATGTTGGCAGGGCGTTGTCTCCAAAGCAATAGACGTGAACCTGAATTCGTTGACCCAGTTTATGCTCAACACAGCACTGAAGCAGTGCAACCATCCTGACGCCTTCATTAAACTACCTGTTCATAAGTAAGTGACACTGGTATCGTCATAGTTATTCTAGCAATTGGTCATAAACATCGAGTATAAAACTAGAAATAGAGACGAAATAAGGGCCACAACAACTGACCTGCGTGTACGTCTCCCTATATTCCAAAAATATTCTGTATTTATTGTAATAAAGATAATATGTCCAACAATGGAAGGTGTTCCATTCGGTGGTGTGGGAAAATCAGCAAAACATCTAATTACAAAACAAACGGAATCACATTTCATTGGTAAATAAATATTAAATGTGTTATTTTTAAATTTTCGTCTGTTTTTAATTTGAAGTGAAACAATTGACGACACCCGTCAGTTGTTACGTATTTGGGCTGGCCAATCGGAGCGCAGTTGTCACGTTAAGAATTTGGCAGAATAGTTTTCAAACCTATTAAATGGCATTTCATATCTATTTTCATGAAATTTTCGATGATGATTTTCGATAACTGTGCAAAACGATTGCATAATTCCTCCTTCAAGGCGTGGGTGGTCGTGGACTTGTTGGCGTGAACCTTCGATTTCCAAATACCCCAAAGAAAAAGTCATGATCTGGGCGGCTAATTCTGATTCCCAAAACAGGAACTTACACGACCAGGAAACAACTCGTGGAGTAATTGCATTGTTTCTCGTGCTGTATGACACGGAGCACCGTCTTGTTAAAACATCACATCTGCCACACTTTTCTTTGAGGTTTTTTGAAATCCAAAGTTTATGTTGCATGTGCAAAGTCGTAGAGGCCTTTTACCCAACATGCTTTACCACACATAACCCTATATACTTCATGGATCAATGAAATGTTTAATTACAAACCTGGGCTTTCTATCAAAATTACTTCTTGCGTGAATTTTGGGACACCTTTATTTAATATATCCTTTGTTGTAGTATTAATCTATTAACGTATGTTATTCATATATAATACGACTGTGTTTACAACACTTAATACTACCTTTTATGTTTCAGCTTCTTGTGGGGCTATGACGATGATATAATTGACATCGCGAAACCTGTATTGAGTCTTTCTGGTAAACTTAACTTCGAAAACTTCGGTCTTTTGGCAACTGTAAGTACCTGCTTTATATAGAATAGAATAGAAATCATTTATTCTGTATAAGACGCAGTATTACTAAAAAAAACCATTTTTCAAGTCCCATTGTGCTTGTAATTTCACCAGCAGCCTTCCCCTTCAAAACCGGAACACAGTAAGGCTGACTAATGTAAGCAGTAATCTGCTTGGCGTCAAAAATAGGGTGGCAGTAGCACTCTGGACGAACTCTTTCACAAGAAGCTCTACTGATACTAAAAAATAACTAATACATAACATTTTGCTACTACAAAATTAAATACAAAGCAAAATTGAAAGCACAGCATAACTCATTACAAACTATTTAACAATGCACGAGAACCAAAGAAAAGAAGCATTGACTTATAAATAAATGGACGACGGGTCTAATACAAAAACCACGAAAAAAATGTCCCAAGTCAACCTATTCGAAATTTAAATTGTTATGTTATCGCAGTATCGCGCTGTCCGTAGAACAAATGAAGACTAAAGCGGAGTGTCGTGCTCTGTATACGATTTTAGCGCCTTACAAGTGCAGACACTTTTTAGCGCGGACCCGACGTCCATATAATTGTAAGTCAATGAAAAGAAGATAATAATATATAATAATTTAAAAATAAAACAGAAGACAACTTAAATAAATAATTGATGTAACGAATAATCATCCACTCAGTCTATTACCTACCTCTATGGTCTTTCAGGGATTAATTTATTGTTTATGCAACAATATTTTTTCTAAGAATACCGCCAATATTCTATAACATTATAATATTGGAGTAACATTGAGACGACGTTCACGAAGCAATCTGCAAACAGCGCGTTTAAATTATAGCCTCGTTTTGACAGTTAATGATTTGAAATGGAACGTAACCTAATGTTGCAATGTTGGCGCACCTGACAGTTTAGCCAACTGTGTGAGTGCAGGGATATGCAGGCGCGGAAAAAGGGAAAACCGCTGGCGCACTTTTTTTTTTTTTTTGAATAACATTGAAGTGCATCCTAATTAAAATTAAGTTGCATGTACAGACGTTAAGTACACGCAATAAACTGATTATTGTTCCGTTTAGTAACATTTTCATTTCTAAATCGCCGCAATTATGGAAGATGGTTTCTCCGTAAATGGCCCCGTCACATATTTTTGTTTTTTTTTTTTTCAGAAAAATGGCACAGTATCAGACCGCCTGACAATCAACACGGGCGAGAACGACAAAGACCGAATGAATGTAATTGAAAAGCTCAACGGAGAAGATCATCTCAACTACTGGTCCAGTCCTGAATGCAACAGGTATGTTTGATGATTTGATATAGATTCCATCCAGTTTGTACTCGTAGTTACATTGTCCGACTCCTGATTTACTGACTAAATGTCAGTTTAAGGGCAATGGTTTTTGGTTTAACACTTCTCGACACAATAATGTACAGTCATCAGTACATCAAACTATATACTTTTGTTTGTCGCCTCAAGAGCAACGGAACAAGATCCGTCGATGTGTAGCGTCTGTACGTTTCTAATTTACAGTTAAATAAGTCACAACCAGACAGTACAGATTACCCATTTTGATAGAATTTTAATTTATATTAAATGATTGCCATATTAATTAAATGACTAAAGGATTTTCCGCGTAATTATATAAGTTCATAAATTGTTAAGAAATTGCTCGTGTTTATTTTTATGAATAAATAGGTTAAGAGTTTATCAAATAGTGATAAATACTCAGTTATATTTCCAATACATAATGGGCCAGGAGGTCGATTCTTGTACGTTGCGACATATTTTAGAATTGGAAAAAAAATCTCAACGTCAAAATGTATTTAAGGTCTATGTTGTATAAAAATGTTATTTCCTGTATGTATACAAATGCAAAGTGCGATTTTTTTGTTTATTTATTTACTTTAGGACAACCAATAAGATATAAATTGAATATTACAATTCCATGAGTTAATTCCGCCTTCCCCTATCTATCATTGGGGGAATAGACGTAGGTTGGGGTCCCACCTCGATGTTGTGAACATTCCCAGAATTCGCATTAATACGCTATAACTTGGACCTTTTTAAGTCGAAAGTGAATAGGCATTATTTAGATGCGCATGATACATCTTCGATCTCGTCGCCATTTTCCATCAGGTGAGATGGAGGTCAAATGCGCACCTTTTTTTGTATAAAAAAAATGTGGAAACAGTGATATAGAGACTTATACTAACGAAGGCTGTTGGTGAAATTACAGGCACATGGAACTTGTCAATTTACGTGTCAGGGTGACGGGTACAGTGGCAGTGCGCCTCAGATCTTTGCGATTTAAAGAGCTGAGTGGCACTTCAACTGTTATGGACAGGCGTGTTGATATTATAAAATAAAACTAAATTCCGCCTCAATTAAAGGTCGCCATGGCATGCAAATTTACAAATGTGAACACGACAGCAAAAATAAACAAGTTAATCCAATGAAAATAAAAAAAAAACTTAAAACAAAACCCCAACTTACATAATAACAACAGCAGCAATTAATTCATTACTATTATTTAAAAAATTAACTATCAAAAGTAAAATAATCTAATTAAAAATATGTGTAAATAAAAAATACAAAAATAAAAATTTATGTGAAACTCATTGACTTACAAATAAATGGACGACGGGTCTAATACAAAAACCACGAAAATAATGTCCCAAGTCAACCTATTTAAACGTAATGACATGTCAAGGAATGTGAAAAAGCTAAAACGTTGAATTTAAATTGTAATGTCATCGCAGTACTGTCTAATTTTGCTTGCTTCGTTGTCAGTCGAACAAACGAAGACTAAAGCGTGAATGACGCTCTGTATATGATTTTAACGCCCTATAAGTTCAGACACTTTTTAGCGCGGACCCGACGTCCATATAATTGTAAGTCAATGGTGAAACTACATTATTGTTAATAAAACTATTTTTAGGGTCTGTTGGTTTCTTTAAAAAAAAACAAATATACGTGGTTTAGATTCGAAAATATTTCCAATGTGGAGCAATCGGGAAATTCTAAGAACTCTGTATAATAATATGTGCTAAGTTTTTTTGTTGACCTGTAATAAATAATACACATAGATATGTAGTGTGAATGACAAAGTAACGTATTTTTTTGAAAGTGAAACCTGTGTTAATATATGCAGTAGAACTCGTAACACGAAGTACCTACTGCCATCTTGCCTATTTCTACCGTGAAGTAGTTATGCTCGCAATAATGCGTTCCGCTTTTGAAGGTTTAGGGTGCTGGTGAAATTACAGGCATATGGGACTCGTCCACGGTGGCGGGCGCAGTGGCAGTGTCCCTTGAATCTTTGTGATTTAAAGCTCTAAGTAATACTGCAACTGTTATGGACAGGCGTGTTACTTACTACCAGGCGCACGCCTAGTTCGTCCCGTCGTTTGTTAAAAAAGAACAATATTTCATAATATATATCATTCAAAATATTTTGATTGAAAAGTCGTATTACAAAATTGAAGACTTAGGGTCATATTCCAGAACTCTAATGAATGCTCAAATCAGGACTTGAGTATGATTTCGAGTGCTTTAAACCATACTCAAATCCCTTAAATCCTGACTTGGACATTGAGTAGAGTTCTAGAATACGACCCTGAGTGTTAGATAAAGATGGATGGAAAGACGACATGGCTCCAGAATCCACGCAAATTTGATTCAAAGTGTATTCCATAGCATTTAAGTTTATTTGAAAAGAGCAATCCCTAGAGTTTCTTGCTCGTTCTTCTCAGGGAAGTCAGCGTAGTGACCGAGCAGTAGCTTAAATGTGACGTTTTCAAGTGTAAATTTATTTCATCTGTGGAATAAATTATTATTCGCCATTTTAGATTCTGAGAACGTTAGCATTCGACATTTACTATGTTTTATTCGATGTTTCTTTACTATGACGATATCTCTATCGCATTAGAATCGGACCCCAGGAAGTTTATAAGGTCGTAGGGTCGCAATACTCAATGCTATATTATAAATCCTTTATTGTAACATAATTGTAATCATATCTGAATAGCTCGCCTCATAAGAATAAAACAGAGGACTACGTACTGTAATATAAGTTGAGAAATTATACGGTGTGCCAAAAACTGCATGCTGTACTAATGTGTAAAACTTTCATCAATTATGTATTGGCCATGTTGATCTACAATCTTTTGCTATCTGTCGTGTATTTTATCATTTATCATCATTTATCATTTATTTATTTTCTCGGATAAATTACATCCATAATTACAAGTACAAAACTAAACTAAACTAAAATTGACATAAATAAATAAAAATGAATTAATTAAAATTGTATTTTTACTCGAGTCAGTAGATGAACCATGTTACAATGGTTCAAATATAGACAGTCGAAACGTTCTGCAAACACGTTCAGTATACTGCTGCAACTGGCCCGCACCCTGCGCACTAAGGATGTGCATCTCTTCCGCATTATTGCATAAAAGCAATCTACTCGTGCTTCAGCAAACATCCCCGAAGCGCTGCAGAAGCGAGGCAACCCCAGCAGCACCCTAAACGCATTATTGTACTGGACGCGTAGGGCGTTGTATTGTTTTAACGTATAATTCGCCCACAGACTGCTAGTATAAAAGGACGTACAAAATGCTCTGAAGAGGGTGATCTTGACGTCCCTCGAACACCTAACAAATCTGCGAGCTACCATATTAGCTCTAACAGACAACGCCCTACGCTCCCTCTCCATGTCAGCATCGTCTTTCAGGTCCGAGGTTACATAGTGCCCAAGATATTTAAACTTTTCCACTCTATTGAGAGGGCACCCGTAAAGTTTAATAGGTGGTATTTTATCTTGACACCTTCCCCGGGCCTGAAAGACCATGCATTCACTTTTCTTTACATTATATTGCAAACCGTGACCGTATTGTCAGAATTTCTACGTCATAAAAATTCCTGTCTTTCTAAATAAAATACAGCTCTAGCGTCTTTATCGTAAGCCTTTGTGGCGTGCTGGAAATTGTTACGGGTTTTGGTGGTCATATAGAGGTTGTTGACTGTCGCTCTCTTGTTTATGCTTCTCCATGGGCATGACCACAATATAAATTTTTAAAATAAAAAGCTTAATTTTTGTTTAAAGTTACCTTGTGTCAAATACTGTACGGACTTTTTGGCCAAATGGATGCCGTACTTTCTCAAACTCGTATCGTATGAAGAGTGATTACTCAGAAGATCGCAAAACTTTTTATTTTAAATTTCAATTTCTTATCAAGGGTATTAATTTGGATGCATTACTTTAAGTATAGATAAAAAGCCAGTGTGTGAATATGAAAGAAACGTGATGTGAAATTAGCCTGCAAAATTTGTATATACAATCCATTTTTTGCATTTCAGTTACTTTGTTTTTTAAGATACGACTTTGAGAAAGCAAGGCGACGAAATATTACTTAATGTACGACATGTACCCGTGTCCAATAGCGAGGCCTATATACAGGTTGAACAAGTCGCCTACCCGGTGGTAAGTGACTGGCCTGTTCATAACAGTTGCAGTACGACTCGGTGCTTTACATCACAAAGATCGTCACCCTGTGACATAAGTTGATAAGTCGCATAAGCCTGTAATTTCATTAGCAACCTTACCCTTTGATGCTCATATTACTTCCCTGGACGAACTCTCTCACAAGGTGCTCTACTGCTAATAAAACATTGTATGATAATTGTCGTCTTGCTGTTGGCTGTCGTAATAGCTTTAACGAACAAACTAGATACAAATCAAGAAATCTTCGAAAGTAGTGCAAATACTTTTATGTCTATAAAATAAAAAAAATACTACCAGGGTTTTAAGTTAAAGGGATGATCGGTATTAGGCAACCATAAACTGTTTGTGGTGAAACTGTCACCCGAACATCTGTTGGCCTTGGTGAAGGAAGAGTTTTGGCCGAAGGGTGTCATATATCGGCGATTCCGAAGCAGGTTACCTGATACCAGATTTTATGTTTTTACATAAATAATAAAAAAAACTTTCATATATTTGTAATTTTTAAGCTTTTCAATGGCGCGATGTTTGACCGCCATTTTATTCAATTATTTTTGTGAAATCACTCCACGAGTTTGTTATAATTATTAATGCAAAGTACTCTCAGAAAAAAATCCTTCGATCCAGCTGGATACGAACCAACGTATACTAGCAAACCGTACCAGACGCTATGCCAACTAACGAATTGGCGGACTTTATGGATCTTTGCCATGTGCTTGCTGCAGAACTTTGATTTACTCTCATTCTGTTTATTCTTCACTTAGCCTAGTATCTTTACATTCTTTCTCACAGATGGTCACACAAAAAACAAGACACAAAAAAGTCTTTACAAATCATAAACATAAATCTGCAACCAGACATAGAAAACTTGCTAAAGTCTGCTGGATCGTTCCGTAGGTCAGGCATGGTATGCTGAAGGCGCTGGTCCGAATCCAGCCGGATCGATGGAATTTTTCTTAGCGTTAAATTATCATATTAATGTTAATATGAAGGGTGTGTGAAAGATATAACAATAAATAATCTAATTTCACTTTGTATAACAACATTTGTTATAATTTCTAAGGATATAATCATTAGTTGTACATAATCAACTAAAGGTATAACAACAAAAGGCATAATTTCGATGTATATAATGAACCTTCAGTATAACAAACATTAGATGTGATGATTAAGAGATATAATGAACAAATGGTACCTATAAGTGCTACCAGTATAATGTATTAAATAATATAACAAAATATTTTGTTTTACGCATAGTTGAAGCGCCCTATATTATGTTGATAAGATTTTTTTAATTTCATTTATTACAAATATAATTGCTTTAAATGCTTTTTGTGTTATAAAATATATTTATTAAAACTTACTATCTAACTTTTTTTTACCCGGGGAAATGCGTTACACACAACGCGTCCTCTCTAAGAAGAGAGGCCTGCCCACAAAAACTCCGGGGGTGTTCCTCCACGCACCTTGTGGCGGGGACGCGGGGACGCTTCCGCATTCTTCCGCTATCCCACCGGTGCCGTCCGTTTGCACGGGCCCTTCCAGAATACAGGGTGGGAATAGTTCACCCTGTTCTCCTAGTCGCAGTGGACTGCCTGGAACACTTGGCAGCCCGCTACCGTCGCCAGTGTCCCTTTTTGTTCGAGCGGCCGGATTCCCCAATCCTAACGCCCGAGAACCTCTACGTGGGCGGAAGCAGGTATAAGCCCGCCTTCTTCGCCCCATTCTCCTACTGCGGATCGGAGCCGAGAGTGGATCGTCCTCTCGACTACGCTCGGCGGCCTCCTTCTGCGCCATCTGCGACTTCCTCGCAGAATGAGGCCATTGCCTCCCGTGACGCCACGTCGGCGACCATGACCTTGACCACGGTCATCCCACCACTGCAGCGAGTGAAGCGCGTTGTTGCGCCCACGCTTGGCACTCTGCGCGCGTATGGTCGGCAGTGTCCTCACTGCAAGAGCAGTGGTGACATGCCGGCAGTGGCTCTCTACCGGCTATGTGGCACAGATACCTGCCGAAGCTACCATGCCCCGACAGGATCTGCACCAATCGGTAATTGAGCGAACCGTGCCTCCTGCTTACCCATTCCTTGAGGACTGGACGCCGCCGGCCGACTTCGCCATTGCGCCAGCACTTTCCGTTGGGCGGATCTCCTCCACCTCATGACCTCCTCGGGGGTCGGTCCTCCTTCCTGGTCTCGTGTGTCTGCGCATCGCCTATGCGCCTCCGCAAGGACCCCAGCATCGAGGTCCCAGAGAGGCGCACCAGCGAGCACACACGCCGCTTTGTACGACACGGTGCGGTATGATCGTATTGCTCTGACCGCCATGACCCGCTGTGGCTTACGCAGCTCGGCCTTGTTCGGACCGGTCAGAGCTCTGACCCACACCGGTGCGCCATATAGCGCCATGGACCTTACCACGCCGGAATATAACCGTCGGCAGGTCACAATCGGACCGCCTAGATTAGGTAAGAGTCTTTCGAGAGCAGATGGGGTCCCGATTAGCTTGGAAGCCAATCATCGAAAATGCTCCCGGAAGTTCCACCTACCGTCGAGCTAAAGTCCCAGATATTTCATATGAGGCTTCACCGCAACCTAACCTAACCTAAATCCACAGGAGGAGGTCAAACCAACTACTAAATGCTAACAAATTCGGTTCATTCAAAATGTCACCTAAACACCGCTGGAATTATATTTATAATAAATTATACCAGTGAATGTTATATCTGAAGTGTTTAAATAAAATGAACGTTATGCCATCGCTATATTAGACTGAAAGTTGTTATATCAATCGTCTATTATACCCAGTGACCTTTATATCATGCAAGAATATGTCAAATGTCTGTATACCATAAATTAATTAGATCTGTTGAGCGTTATATAGACTGAAAATATGTCATTTGTTGTTAAATACTACGAACCGCACCCTTATAATAAGCCAGTGGAGTAATTTCACAAAAAAGAATTGAATATCATGGTAGTACTTAAACTGTCGTGATATTCAATATACTCACTTGATATTAACATAAATAAACTATTTTTAGTGTAGATGTACAAAATTTTTACGGTAATGCTCTTTCTTTTAACTTCGTATTGGTTGAGTAAAGTTGATAACAAGCACTAGAATAATTATCTCTTGTAACTATGACCCGTTAAATGTGCCAAGCTATATTTTTCCCGTTCATAGCACTTTTTATCATACTGAGATAATATTATCTGTTTTTTTTTTTTTCAAATAGCAAACATGTCGTAGTTCATTTGATATTAGCCAATCGCAAGGGCTTTCTAAACAATAAAGTGCGCGATGACGACGTATTTATTGTGCAATATTTTAAACTACTATGTTCTCTTTTGACGGAAAATAGTACATTGTATATCGTCTGCTTAAAGCTTAAAGTTAAACCACATAAGTGACATTTTCCACAAAAATCTCAAAATTATGTACTAGTTGTGAGAAATTGCGAACGAGGCTCTATTAGAAGCCCGAAGTCGAAGGCTGAGGGCGAATGAACGCCGGTTGTCCAAGACAATCCTGTACACTGACTGATGTGCGGTCAGAACTTGAACTTATAAGATTCTTGTGCGCGCACAGATTATCTCTCGTATACCCTAAGGGTCAGTAGGGAGGGTCGCTATAATCAAAACTCAAAACTAATGTACATAAATATGGGGTTGTTCCCCACCCAGATTTAGTCCACCGGCAGAGGGAGCGCCGATGCATGCTGTAACTTGCAGATGGCGCTTTGTCTCGAAGTTTTTCGCCTGTGCTCTTGACCGTTTCCCATTCAAATGATGACACTTTAGATATCACCTGGGCGTGAAAACGTCTACGTTTCCATAATAAGCCGGATAAAAATGTAGCAAATTGATATGTATGTGATTTATTGTTGATTTCAGCCTTGAGGCAACTGACGGCACGATCTTCCCCCCATCAATGTTAGACCGAAAGAGACCACTGCACGTGTTCTACCCTCAGCTATGCCGACGGCTGCCTTTCCAGTATGAAAAGGACATTGAAGTAAGCTACTGGATTAACCCTCTGCGACTGACGTTACGTCTGACATATACCGTAAAAACTATGCGGTGTTGCAATTTCGTTATTTCGCTGGATAACGTTTTATCTCGCCAGTTGAATGTTTATAAATAACGCACCTCGGTCGCAGAAGGTTAACTTGAATGTCGAAATAACAACTAAACATTAATAACCAGTTAATAGCAGTACAGCTCCTTGTGAAAGAGTCAGTCGAAGTACTGCCACCTTACCTATTTCTGCCGGCAAACAGTAATGCTTTTCATTATTGAAGGGTGATCTGAGGGGCACGGCCACTGTGCCCGTCACCGTGAGACATAAGTTGACAAGTTCCATGTGATTGTAATTTCACCAGCAACCTTACCCTTCATAAGCTGAGATTACTGCTAGGTGGCAGAAATAGATAAGGTGGCAGTACTTCCTTGGACAAACTCTTTCACAAGGAGCTCTACTGCTATTAAAAATCTTTATTGTCATAGGTAAGCAAATTACATTTGAAATTGTCATACATAAGGCGCACTACAAGTTTCCGGAACTGGCCACTTACATAAACAATATTTAAAAAGTAATTACAACATTTGAAACTGGAACTCATTGGCTGTAGAATACGGTTTGTTTCATCTGACTGTCACTTGTTTTTACATTGTGGCGTCATTTTAGAAATTGGTTGTCTACATCACCATGGATTTAACTCGTGAAAATTTTCGTAGTATGATTTTCTACGAATTTAAGTGTAATTTAACAGCTCAACGGAGCTTCGCTCGGCTTCAGACTGCTTTTGGCGATGAAGCACCATACAAGACGACTATTTATAGCTGGTGTGCAGAATTCAAACGCGGTCGTGTGAATCTAAGTGACGAATTTCGTGATGGTCGCCCGTCCACTGCTGTGAACAACAAAAACATCGATGCTGTGCGCCGTATGATCAAAACAGACATACGTGTGACGTACCATGGGATTCGGACATTTTTAGGAATAGGCATGAGTCAAATACAATCAATACTACACAAACATTTGGTTGTGAAAAGCTGTGCTCTCGGTGGATCCCACACAATTTGACTGGGGCTCAAAAAACGGAACGCGTCACTTGGTGCAATGCCATGCTTACCAGATTCAACGAAGGGACGTCAAATTTGGTGTGGGACATAGTAACAGGTGACGAAACATGGGTTTATAGTTAGCAGCAATCGAGCGTATGGGTCTTTCGAGATAAACCGAAACCAACCAAAGTGGCGCGCGTGCAAAGTGCCTCTAAGTGGATGATTACTTCTTTTTTTACTAAAACTGGACACGTGGCTACTGCTGCTTTGGAGAATTGTTGTACCGTGAATAATGATTGCTACACGACCATTTGTTCTCAACTCCGTAAAAATAGCCGTAAACGCCGTATCATCTTACACCACGATAATGCCAGTTCTCACACGGCCAGACAGACAAATGAATTTTTCAAGGTCAACAACATTGACCTTATGAGCCATCACGCGTACAGTCCCGACCTGGCACCTTGTGACTTTTATTTATTTGCAAAAATTGAGAACCAGTTACGCGATTTTCATCACCTGAAGAGGCTGTCGAAGAGTATGAAAAATATGTTTCAGTGATTGTCATGGAGAAGTAGTGGAGGAGGAGGAATGGAATGCTCTACCGGCATCTGTATTTCCCGAAAAGTACCATTTGCCGCTATTGAAGGCTAGAGTGAATAGACATTTTTTAAACAAACGCGTCCCATCGTCGCTTAACATCAGATGAGATTGTGGCCAAGCGTGTGTCTATTATACAAGCTGTGTATTTGAAAGTGAGACATACTTATAGAGTGCGTTATATTCCTGATTCTGAACCCAAAAAAATAATAAACTAACGAACTTAAACTTTACAAAAAAATCTTTTTTTTTATCGACTACTACTTGTGAACAACATTACTTATCGAAATCTATGCACATCACTATTAACGCTCCGACAGACGCAGCAGCGAGAGGCGCGGCAGCACGGCGGCGAAAAACAAAGCATAGGACGGCACTGTTTGCAGAGACAGTGCACGCGCGATCTTGACCTAGCGAAGACACGTAAATTATTTGTACTTCCGCCTGCCCGAATACTGCGCCGGCGGCGAACGCGCCCCTCGCCTGCAAAATGGATATTTATTCAAACGTCGAATTGACTGAGATGGTGCGACTTTACGCAATAAGTGGCGAGCTATTGAAATGTTCCCAAATTGGAGTTTACGCGGAGGAGGTGAACAGTGTCGAAGTTGTTGCATGAGAGGATTATCTCACCATTTTATACTGTGAGACAAAATGTGTTTGTGTTGATCAATTTAAAACAAAATTTACTACGACGTGCTAGACTATGCATTGTGGAAAACGGTGGAAATTTTGAACACTTGCTAGTATTCCAAATGCACTCGAAATCAAGCGTAAAGGGAATCGGTTTATTCCTATTTACGCTCCAAAACAAATTTGTTGATTTATTTTTTGTTCTATCCCATATCCTAATTTTTTTTAGTCTATGTTAAGTTGTAACATGATTTACTATGAAATGCATGAATATGTCTCACTTTCAAGTATACAGCCTGTATATTAAAAAAAAAGGAGTGGCATAAATGTTTTTAAAATTGGTTCATTCGTATTGAGAAACAATAAATTTATTTCTGACCATTTATAGTATTATAAAACCGGAAACTTATAGTGCGCCCCACGTATTAATTAAACACCGTAGTTCGTTCGTAAGGCAGATTCCTCTGAGAAGAATGAGCAGGAAACTCTAGGGGTAGCTCTTGTAAATATACATTTGAATACTTTTTGTCTACCACAGATTCCTTCATCCAAGTACGCATAGCAGTATTAACCATCAGTATAAAGTATTTGATTCACAATAGTTTTAAACCTCGTAAATGGTAATTTGAATATCTATCGGAATCTCATTATAGAAGCTTCTACTTCGACTGTCAATAACAGCTAGTTTATTTTTATTCCTCGTATTAACGTTATGTCTGTTTACTATTTTTCATTAAAAAAATATTTTTTTCTTAACACAAATAACATTTTCATAAATGTACTGTGTTACGTTAGTACAAGAATGTTAATTTCTTTAAATCTCTTAAAGACACTCTGAGGCGTAGATTGTAAATTCTATAATACCTATAGTTCAGGTTATAGATTGTAAAATCTCTAACTTGAACCTTACCTACCTTTTTTTTTTGACGGGGGGGAAATCTTTATGGCCCAGCCCAGGGAGACTCAGGGGTTATGTGGGGACTTTCCCTGAGACTGGAGGACCTACCCCACTAAAACCCCCCCGGGCTTCCCTCTCGCCGGTTGAGTCGGCGCCGTGGGATCAGTGAACATTCACCACGACGTCGCCCGGCCGCCCTAGCTTATGCCAGGGCTCCCGCGCCAACGGAGGGGCGAGTCGGTTGTCCTCCGACCTTACCTACCTAACCTTAACTATTAGTTCTTCTGCAGTAAAATGTGTATATATTTACAAAGAACAATAAATACAGTATCTCACTGGTTATTCATTAATTATGTTTTACAATTGGTGTGCTATTTGTACAATAAAGAAGTTTACAAAGTACAACCCTAATTAACGCACTAAGTGCTATTGTGTGCGCATTGGTTTAGTGCCCTTTACTGACCTAACACCGATACGGATTGAACTCAATTTGATCAATTTCAATTGAACTTAGGGACTTGTTACGTAAATGCTTAGATGGAACCTCATGAATCTCAGACGGAAGCTATAATAAACTATATAAGTCGAATATTTGCTCAACATGTTCAATCATCAGAATTAGTCCGTTGTCTTGGCTGTCAGGGCTTTGGCGTGCAGTTTTCTTCGAGTTACCACCACCAAGCTCAGGCGTAGCATGTGTGCCAACACTATGCGGTGTTGTACATAATTGAGCTTAGTACGCCATTTACACTTTGTAACAAGGAGCTCTGTTGCTACTAAACATGCTTACTCATGATATAAAAAAGGTACAATAATATATAAACACTACCCCTACAAATCAAACAAAACAATATGAACTTATTCCAAAAGGGCCTGTAATCGCACAAATATAGATGCTATATAAGCAATTAAGGTAAAGAACGTAAAGTTGTTTTACGATCGGTTGAATGAGATTCCATATCGATTTTAGTGTAGTGGTTCCTTAAATCTAAGATATGAAACAGAAATGTCCGGTAATGAGCGACTAGCGTGCGTTCAAACGTGACGTATGCGGTATTTGGTCACCGGTGTAATCTTAATATTTTTTTTTTTAGATTGCAGACGGAATCCAGTTAATGCGGTATCAAATGCCGCACAACGTTTTCGACGACCCCGTGCTCAACAAGGACAATGACTGTTTCTGTCAAATTGAGCAGTGTCCGCCGAGAGGTGTCATCAATGTGACTGCGTGTGCTATGGGTAAGTGCGTAGCGAGTCCTAAGTTCTCATATGCCAAATAAGCAATACTTGACCAAATGAAAAGACGCGTGATGCGAATGAAGCTTCATACTTGGTACTTGTCTTTTAATTTTGTCGAATATTACTTATTTGACAGTAATTGTTTCGGACGGGTGTCGGACGGAGATTGAGAGTAGACCCCCTGCCCTCCTTGTCGTAAACAAAATTGGTGAAATTAGACACGTGGGACTTGTCAACTTATGTCTCCGAGTGACTGGGATAGTGACAGTGCGCCTAAGATCATTGCGATTAAAAGCTCTAAGTGACACTGCAACTGTTATGGACAGGCGTGTCGCTTACCAACAGGCGTACGACATGTTCGATCTATCACTTAAATACTTAATTAAATACTGCCTAGTTTTTTTTATTTTATCATCTCATTATTTCAACCTTCTGATATGAAAATGTTATTAGGTAAATACAAAAGAACTGTCTCAAGTTTTTGTCCCTCTTCAAGTTCTTTTCTTTCCAAGGGGAGCATGGTTTGCGCTGCGCCAGACTCACACTCTCTCACATATAATTACCGTTGTACAAATAAGTCATATTGTAAAGGTTTATTTACATGGAGAAAGCATTGACTTACAAATAAATGGACGACGGGTCTAATACAAAAACCACG